TGAGGGGCTGGGGCTTGTACAGTGGCTCAAAATAGGGCTTTTTTAAAAAGGAAAATATTTTGGTGGATTTGATGGAGGAAGAGAGAGGGAAAAAAAAATAAGCTGTCATCTTTTAATGTTTGGAATAAACCGAGTTTTGATAAATCCCGGGGTTGATCCTGTGGTTTGGAGGGGTGGGGGGATCAGAGAATCCCAGACTGGTTTGGGTTGGAAGGGAGCTTAAAGAGCATCCAGTCCCAACCCCCTGCATGGGCAGGGACACCTCCCCCCAGCCCAGGTTGCTCCAAGCCCCATCCAACCTGCCCTTCAACACTGCCAGGGATGGGGCAGCCACAGTTTCCCTGGGCAACCTGGGCCAGGCTCTCACCACCCTCACACCCAAGAATTTCCTCCTCCTGTCCAACCTCCATCTCCCCTCTTCCAGGTTTAATCCATCCCCCCTTGTCCTCTCCCTCCCTGCCCTTGTCCCAAGTCCCTCCCCAGCTTTCCTGGAGCCCCGTCAGGACCTGGAAGGTGCTCTAAGGTCTCCCTGGAGCCTTCTCTTCTCCAGGCTGAACACCCCAACTCTCCCAGCCTGTCTCCAGAGCGGAGCTGCTCCAGTCCCTGGATCATCTCTGTGGCTCCTCTGGACTCTCTCCAGCAGCTCCATGTCCTTCCTGTGCTGGGGGCTCCAGACCTGGACACAGCTCTCCAGGGGGTCTCCCCAGAGCAGAGCAGAGGGGACAATCCCCTCCCTGGCCCTGCTGCCCACACTGCTGGGGCTGCAGCCCAGGACACGGGTGGGTTCTGGGCTCCAGCACACGGTGCTGGGTCATGTTGAGCTTTTCACTCACCATCAGCCCCAAGTCCTTCTCCTCAGGGCTGCTCTCAATCCATTCTCCACCCAGCCTGGATTTGTGCTTGGCATTGTCCTGACCCAGGTACAGAACCTTGCACTCGATGTTGCCACCATGGTGAGGGGCCAGTCCTTGGTGGCTGTGGCACTTGGGGACAGGTTGGGATGGGTGCCAGCTTTGTAGAGGTGTGGCACCACCTTTGGGTGCTGCTGTGGTCCCCAGTCCTGCCCAGTGTGTGCGTGTGTGTGCAGCTGTGGGACATGGCCACGGGATGGCAGCAGGAGAAGGTTCTGGGGAAGGGGGAAAGGGATGGACCCCTCCCTGTCCCCGTGGGACCTTCCCTATCCCTGGGGGATCCCTGTTCCTGGCCCATTTGGGCCTCCAGACCCACAGCTGATCCTACTGGCACAGCTGGGAGGTGTCTTGGTGTGTCCCTGAGCTCTGTCAGAGCTGAGATGAGCAGGACCAGGTTGGTGGCACCTTTCTGCCCAGAGCTGATGTAATTCTGTCTCCTGCATCTGGGGAACCAAACCCCCCTCATTCCCAAACGGGTTGGGATTCCTCCCATCCTTGAGGGGTTGGTCCTGGGAAGGGGAAAACATTCCCTTGGGTGGAAGGAGCCAGTTGGTGTTTTCAAGAAAGAGGGGGATAAAAGATCTGGGGAGAACAATGGGGTTAAAAATATTGGGAGCTGATGAATCAGCTGCCATCGTCTTGGGATCCAGAATGACACCTATTGGGAAGTTGCTGGAAACTGGGGGAAGGATGAGCCCCCACACAGGAGAGAGAGGGTGGGTGAAGGAAAACAGCTTAACTGAGGAAAGGAAACGTCTCATTAACGAGGTTTTGTGCTGGTGGAGTTGAGGAGAAGGAATTTCTTAGAATCATGGGATGGTTTGGGTTGGAAGGACCTTAAAGATCATCCAGTCCCACCCCCTGCATGGGCAGGGACACCTCCCACCAGCCCAGGTTGCTCCAAGCCCCATCCAACCTGCCCTTCAACACTGCCAGGGATGGGGCAGCCACAGCTTCCCTGGGCAACCTGGGCCAGGCTCTCCCCACCCTCACACCCAACAATTTCCTCCTCATGCCT